AGCTAATAAACCATTTAAGCTATATTATTGACAGTTTCCTAAATGAGTTACTCCAGAGTATTAACAATGGTGTGTTGGGTGGCAGAGAATTTTTGTTGCAAAGACTGCACTTAAGTCTAAATCCTAAAGTTCTCATTGAACTTTGAGGTAATGTCTTCTGCAGAAACTGAGATTCTTGCTGTTAAATTGATAGTCCTCTAGTCCTAGTATACTCTGTGGTGCCTACCACTCAGTTTCATTGTGCCAAATGTGAACATTAGGATAAGTGGTGTGCCTATAAAAAGGTCTAGCTTCCAAACACTTTTGACTGTCACTTAATTCTGATGGCTTCAAATGGATAGACAATTAAACATTCACAGTATACCTTCATTTAGTTGAACAACTTTCAGTACAGCATGGCTGTTCTGCTTGCTAAATTTAATACCCTAGAGATGCACAGAGAAGGGAATTTATGGCAAGAAGTGCACTAGACAGCTACGAGCTCTCTGTTCTATGCTATTGACCAAGAGCAGTAATATTTTATGTCTTAAACAGGTTGGGAATCAAAGGTCCTCCAGATGTTGCTGGACTGCAACTCCCAGCATTTCTCACAATGGGGTATGCTAGGAACTGCAGTCTAACAACATCTGGAAAGTGCAGGATTCCCCCCATAAAGGTTCACCATAATTTAAGCAAAGGTAAAAACAGCAGCGAGAGAGAGAGTTGAAAACTATAGCAAAGTTAGTATGATTATCATTGTTGACTTCAGAACATCCTGCACCTTGCAGTGTATTTCAACATCAGTCTTTATGTCAAATCTTTTAATAAAGCAATAGAGACTCGTCTGTCTGCTCAGGTGGGCATTGAGGTAATTTTAAGTTGGCTTAGTACTGTATGTTTAATAAGTAGTTTCCTGATTTGGCTGCTCAACTGGCTATCTGGGAATTCCAAATCCATTTTAAGCTGATCTCCTTTGGAGTCTCCTTCCTTGGAGGTCTTTAAGCAGAGGCAGGATGGCCATCTGTCGGGGGTGCTTTGATTTTGAGTTCCTGCTTGGCAGGGGGTTGGACTGGATGGCCCTTGTGGTCTCTTCCAACTCTCTGATTCTATTATTTTAAAAAAACCTAACAGTCTTTGTTTCCATCAAGAGAAGGTATTTTTACAAAGCTCTTAATTCCTCATTCAAAGGCAAATTAAGAAAGAATGGAAAATATCTTTTAAGGAAAGTTTTGTTTTCAGCAAGCAATCTTACATTAGCAAAAGGAAATCTTGTATATGAAGGTGCCTTTAGGTGTTACTTAGGATTAGTTATAGCATTACAAAAATAGTTTATCTCATATTCATCGGAAGCTAGAAAGAAACATAAGCGCTAATGTGACTACTTGACCTTTCCTACTTTATTCACAATACATAGTATTCTAGGTCTTTGGATGTTCTTGGGAAGTTGGGAGTCTGATCCTCTTGGTACAACCTAAGAAGACCACGCTTCCCTAGGGATGATGAGGCAGTTCTCTGTCAATCCCAAAATTTCTTGTCTATTCTTGTGGCACGTGTTTTTATAACCTCTCATCTTGGAAGCATTTCAAAGCTTCTACACTTCTCCCAAACTGAACAAGGCAATTGATCTCTGTTGCTCCTAGGTGATGCTGACCCCCAATAAATGTTACCCAACCAGTCACATAATTAATCCTTTGTTTACTGGGGAAGTCCATTATCACAGCTCCCAGCAATCGAGACACTCTGAAGCTATTCCATTATCCCTTCAACAATTGTGTGTGTGTACATTAAGAAAAAAGACAAAAGAAAGTGTGCTAGCAAAAAATGCAAACTAGCAATTCAAGTGGTAAGACACAGGAAATCCCCTTTGAATCTGGCCTCTGCCTGCCATGAATTTACTAGGTGCCATTAAAGCAAACTGCTTTCTCTCAAGCTTTCCAGCACCAATGGGGTACAGGATACATGTTAAACTGTTTGAATTCTTAAAAGCCTGCTACAAAATGTGTTTGTGGAACCACTGTGTTATATTAAGCCTACAATCTAATTCACACTTACCTGGAAGTAAGCCTCAATAAAAATCAGTGAAACTTGTTTCAGAATAGACATTAGTGAGAATGTAAGATGCAGACATTTTAACTTCAGTGGGGCTACCTTTCTTTTGAATCAGTACTCTCTTAGTCACATATGAACTTTATGCAAGTGAGATGTCTCCTATGGTTCTGAAGATTTATCCAAATTTTTTTGGGGGGGGGGGTTGGACAATGACATAAAATTCCTTTCTGCAGTGCCTTTCCTCCTTGAAGGAACTAGCTTCTCTTTTCGGAAATGATCTGAGAAGAGAGCCACTTGTCTGTGAAGGCTTCTCACTTTTGGGATGAGTGACTTTGTTTTTAGAAAGGTCAGAGACGCAAGATGGGTATCTTTTCAGAAGGAAGTCCAATTAACTTCAGTAGGGCTTACTCCTGGATATGTGAATAAGGGATGGATGGAAGCCTGAAACACAAAGTGCCTCCAAAAGACCTTCACACTAGCCTAGAGGCACGTCTTCTCTCACTCACTCACATTCACACAGAGGCTTTAATCTTCTTCAGCAATTTCAACCAGGAAAAGCTGCTGCAATTCTAGCTCCGCTGATCCATTACAGAGGAGAAGGACCCAATTATACTTTATTTAAGAATTTGTGTGTATTCCTTAAACTGATGAAGACGGAAGAGTTAGTAAATCACTAGTGTTTCCTGTTTGAAAAGGCATAGAATCACAGTCCCCTTTGCAGAATAAAAAGAAAAGCAAAAAACACCAATAGTAATACATCTACAAATAATAATAATATAGTTGTTGTACAGTTCAGCATTAGAAATATTACTTACATTTTTAAACAGGCACTCTGAGTGCTACTGCTGTACATATATGAAAGGGTCCAGGTTAAGCTCACCAGGATTTTCTCTAACCCCCTCAACCATATCTCGGATGGAGGCATAGAACTTAAAGTGGTGTCAAATGGCATTATTTCTACATTCTACACTACAGGGATGACCTGACAAATGGGGAGCAAGTGGTGGGATCCTTAGGTGGGAGAGATCATGTTCTCCTGAAGTTTCTTA